CGGCACCATCCTCGTCGAGGCCAAGTTCCGCGTCTGAAATGGGAAGTGGAGTAGGGTACAATGAGGATGTGGTAACACTCATGTTATTGTGAGGGACTTGAGACTGGGTAATAAATAGCATAGCAAACCAACCCCGAGATAGCATAGAGCAGACCAGAGCCATTAACTCCTTTTAACATTTTGCATTTATTTATTTCATTTAAAGTGCGCTTAAAGTTTTAATTACTGAAGTATTTAAAAAGTACAATCAACATTCACAAAATTGCGCTAAAACTGCGGATTCTGGTTTTTTCCCATTATTTTTAGTTTTTGTTTTTGATGCTAATGCTAAATACTAAATACTTTGTGGAATGAATATAATTTTGCTAAAGTAAATTCGTTAAACATCAGTTCTAATTGGTTAGGTTAGCTATTTGTTGTTCATTTTTGTTCGTTTGAAACACTTAAAATTGCCATAAAGTAATTACACAAATGTTTTTTCTTTTTCGACTTTGCATTTTAAATTTGCTTATATTTTGAACTTTGGTTTGTTTTCTTTTCCCCTCATCGAAAATTTCAAACTCCCAAAAAACAAGCCTATGTACATACATAGCTTTATATGTATATGAAGTATGTAAGTGCATTTGGGTGCATTTCATGTTTTCCGTTAACTCGTGGGTGCAGACAATTAAACCACATTTAGAAACAGAAAATCAAAATCTTTTGAATTATCTTTCAGAAGTCATCCCATTTAATCCCCCCCCCAACTTTGCATTCTGTCGCTCACTCGTGAGATCCTATTTAAAAACAGCATTTAAGATTTTGTTGCGACCAGCCAGCCTCTATACTAGTTGAACTTTCGATTTCGTTTCATAGTAGGTCCATATGTGGTACGCACGAAGGTGTGTCCAGATTCTGACAAATACACCACTCGACTTTGCGCTGCGACTGGCTGGCTAATTGTTCACGGGTTATCATGACTTATTTTTAGGTTTGATTCTTTTCGGGTTAAAGCAAGCATTCTCAACAAAAGCCATCGTCTACTGTGGAGAATGTGATCGACTAACAATATGTTACAGTAAATAGGTACATATGTATGTATGTATGTATATCGAAAGAGATACATAAGACTACACAGCTTCAATCCGTTAAGTACCTTACGAGTGTAAGTAATTTCTATGTTCACTGGACAAATAAAGTAGAAAACAAAACTACAGTCTCATACGGAGCAATTTGGAAGCTTTTGTTTTTAAGATACGAGGATCCCGTTAATACCATACCATCGAGCGCCACAACCAACTTTCATAAGCATGCTCCACACTAAAATCGCATTCTGGAGCGTTGACAAACTACTTGTATTGCCTCCTACCTGCCACTTCCTCAAAATCGGAGTCGTCTGTGTCTTGAGCAGCAGCTACCACAGTGGACACGGGCCGCGTCTTTGTGTGTCGTTTTATGCGCGTTGACTTTGTCTTGCTTAGACGAGGCGGTCCGTCCATGGGTGGCGAAGGGGCTTCTGCTGCAGCTCGTCGGCTGGGCCGCTTCTCTTTCACGTCGCCCTTATCAGCGTCTATGGCCTTGGCGTAATTCTGATTCGGATTTTCGCCCAATGCAAGCAGTGCATTGACATCCATCGTTGCAGCACGATTTTTGGCTGATGCGGCTGTGACGCCGCGGTTGGCCAGCGCATCTCTGGTGCGCTCCAGACTGTTGGCATTCTCTAGGAGCCCGCGGAAGTCAAACGCATGGGTTGCTGTGTCCTCGACGCTGCTGTCATTGTTATCCTCGGAACCGGAGTCAGAGTGAGCTTTAATTCCCGCATTGCAATCAAATTGGGGCACTGGCGACTTATCCTTTGACGATGGTTGAGCCGAAAAGAAGCTCGAGCGCAGATCGAGGTCAGCGGGATTAACCAAATAGTCGTCTACACTGCATTCACTGCTGGAATCAGCATAGTGCCGATCCTGTGCACCGCTTTCATTGGGCGTTCTTGCGTTTTTTGAACCCGACGCTGATGGCGAGTTCTGCTGGGAGGGCGAAGTGGGAAACGTCTTCGGCGGCGGTCGGTACTTGTTGTACAGCTTTGAACGCAGAGATTGACCACTCGGCTTGCGCTTCTTTACTGAAGCTCCCTTTATGCCGCTTGGCGGTTTCTGATCTCTACAGAAGCGGAGTGTTAACGAAATCAGAACGAATATCCGACGATTGACAGCTTACCTCTTTTTTGATGCGCCAGCAGATGATCGGCCCCTAGGACCTGCAGAAGCCGCCGCCCCTGCGGGCTGCATCTCATCGAAGTCGCTATCGTCGTCGTCCGATGATTCGCCGCCGCGAGCATCTTTGTTGGGCTTCCACTCATCCTCGCTGGCAGAGAAGCCCTCGGAGACCGATTCGTCTTCTTCGTCGGACATTGTTCGGACTGTTCCCGTTGCTCCTGGGCGTTTCACATTTAGGTATAGAGCGTGCTCTTACAGTTATTGATTTTACTGCGCAGTTAAATTACAGCATGAAGTCGCGATTTCTAAACGGATTACCGCTGTTTCGATGTTTGTTAACTTTCCTTTCAGGCTTTCAGGTAGTTTATTCAGTGTCATCTACGTTTGTTTTCAATTTTTTTTTCATTTCAGCGACTTTTTAAACAAGTCGTGAAATATACATTTGCGCGGTTGGTAAGAAAAACAGGCCAAAAGCAGAGGGCGAGAGCTGCGTCAAAATGTCAGGGTTGGTAAACGCCACACGCAATGAAAAATATATCGTGTATATTTCGTATATTCCACAAAAATTACATATCAGTGGGACCAAAAGTATCCATCTGATACTTATCAATAATCTTATAATATAATATGCAAAGTGAATCCGGACGTAATATAAGAACAGGTATAATATAAATTAAACTTAACCGGCAACACGTACCATGAAATAAAAAACAACTATCGGGAAATCCATTGACAGATCCGATACAACGGGTGCAGCACTAATTTTTATTTGTTTTACCACAGTTGCACATCAAATTAGTGTTTACCTTTCTTGAAAATGAATTCAGCGGGAGACGAATTACATCCAAACTGGTTAGCACTAACCACATTGCCGATGCAGCTGAAATGTTTCGTCCGAGCCGGCCACGTAGAACCTGCCCCGCCACCGATAAACGGGACAAAACACAAAATAAATGGCCTGGACGGAGTTGAAGCCCAAATGTTTTACAAACAAGTTTTGGAGACACCAGCCACTCGGCCAGCCTTCAGACCGACACTAAAGAAGTCCAATAAATCCAGGAGAAGTGTTCAGCTGCCGTTCGACAAGAGCAGGTTCTTCCGTCTTGCCATCGGCAACAAGGTGGAGGAGATGTCTCAAATGCACATCACAGATAAGCAGCTGAACGCTTGCGACGGCTTTGGTTGGACGGCTCTAATGATGGCTGCATGTGATGGCTGCAAGGATGCGGTGTCATGGCTTCTACATAATGGTGCGCAGACAGATGTCCGAGACAAATCTGGTAACACGGCTCTCGCACTGGCTAAGCTGAAAGGGCACATAGAAGTGGTACAAATTCTTGAAACGTCACCGAGCCCACCTGAAGATGACACACAGGAAGGAATAGAGACGACAATGCCCTTCCACTGTCGTGTCTGCAAAAGAAACTACAAGGAAACACCATGGAATACTCATCAAACATCCACCGTGCACCAGTTCAATATGAAGTCGTTTCCGTCCCACAAACTGGAAAAGTTCAATTTATCTGCGAAGAATCGTGGTCTGCAGCTTATGATCAAACAGGGATGGGACCAAGAGCACGGTCTGGGGCCCACCCAAAGTGGACGCTTATATCCGGTGAAAACTGTGCTACGAAAACAAAGATCTGGCCTCGGGATTGAGCAGCCACCCGCAAGGGTTACACACTTCAAGGCATTCGATCCGAACGCGACAAGGCGAAAGGATCCAGTTCTTCAGCAGCGACATACTCGTCAAGATATGCAGCGGGAAAAATTGCGAGAATGGAAGCGTAATCGACGCCTTCGTAAAGAACTAAATTAAGTTGAAACTTTGGACAGATTCCATTAATATAGTAACAATAATAAACTATAGTACAGTTTTACAATTTTTGCTAATGTAATGCATTTTTATTATGATAGTTGAATGTACCTAAAAACGAAGTAGAGTAAGTGTTGTGCTAGCCACAATCAAACAGCTATCAACAGCTGACGGTTGACAGAAAGGAGAGCATTTTCATGTATAGTCTCTTTTCGCTCTTTCCAACTGATTCATCTCCATGGATATGCTGTTGCATGTGTGCGCTCTCTTCTCCTTTTCGATTGACTATGGCACCACACACAGTTGACACCGTTTCCGCTTTGCGCCTGCGCCCTGCGTCTTGCCTCTTGTCCTGGTCCTGGCTGGTATATAAGGAACTTCTCCGAATCCGCTCCCTGAGTTGTATTCGGCCTGCAGCACGGTGAAGTCTGCTAAGTGTTTTGATTTCTATCCTATCCTGTCATCTACGGCCGCAAACGAAGCGCCATAAAAATAATTCACTCAGTGTGCGTGTTTTAAAGTTGTACATACCCCGCATTACACGAGAGCGGTGGGAAGTATGGGCCGCACGAAGGTCAGCAGTGTGTTCCAGTTAGGCAAACTGCAGATAAATAATTAACGCCGCCCGTTTCAGAAACACCCAGGAACGAACTTTACTTAATGGCTTAATAGCTGGTAGATGATATGTATGGTTTTGGCGCTCATTAGCAAAAAGTATGTAATACTTCGATGGTCTGGCAGCACTGCTTCGATCAACGCGAACAGCTGTTCAATGTGTGTGTGTTGCGTATGTGTACCAGCGCGTTTCCAGCTCTCGTAATTGTTGTTGGGGCTCTAACGTGTTCGGTTCGCAAACGCCTAAGGGACAAAAATAAATGTACAAAAGTGCCGACGGTCCGCCAGCAATTTAATTGATCTCCGCGTTTGATAACTCTACGGCGCCTGTGGTGCCCGCTCAGTGAAGTGCGACCGCGTGTGTGACCCAGCCAATGCAAAGTGGGGGCGTCGGAAATTACGCAAATTGCGAGCATCGAAACTCCAATTTCGATAGGAATTTATAATGCCCATAGCTCGTTGAGAGCGGAATCGATCAAATCAATTTACATACATATGTACATACATATGTACTCGTGTATTTCCCTTTGTGGTTTATTTCTGTGATTTGTTTTGTTTGCATTGGACTTGTTTGTATATCTCCCCAGCCTCTCTGTCTCTCTCTTCATATACATATGTACATGTATGTACATGTATATACATATATATATATATATTTGCTTATCTCGCTCGATCGCCACATACTCGTGCACTCACGCAGCCTCCCCCTTCTATTTCTATTGTATTGGACTTGTTGTGCATTCTCTTGCATTTAAAAGTTCGCTCTCTGAGAACTGTCGGTGCGAATCAATTAAATCAATTAGTTGCTCATCGGAAACAAATGTACTTCTACCTTCAGTTTCCACTTGTAAATGGAGGTCCAGGAATAAAGTACACTTTGGTGAAACAAATATCGTAAATCTTTAAAATCGTAAACCAAACAAATGAACCTATCGAGAAGAGCCATGGCGAAATTTTCGGTTTGTTTATTGTTATAAAATAAGCCCAAAGAACGGTGCAAGATACCCATCCTACATCCCACCCGCACCGAAGAGCAAAACGAAAAACGAGAAAAATGAAATGCCCAAAACTTCCGGGTCATTGCCAGTCGGCACTGGCAGGGGCCTCCTCCTTCCTCCCTCTCCCGGTCGCTCCCAGTCGCTCAAATATCCCTCCTACCATCCCACTGCTGCTCTAGAGTACACTTGAATTCGAATTTTTTCCTGTGCTGGAAACAAACACTAAATGTGCATATAAAATACTTGCAATAAAACGAAGACAAATAAATATACATACATAAATATGTACGTATGTATGTACACACAGATATTAAATGAGTTTAAACGCCGAATTGCTCAACAAGCTACATATGTATATTTTCCGGAATTCTTTTGGATTGTTTACCCTTTGGATGCTAGAATTCAGTGATCGGCGAATAGCAAATAAAGCAATTACAAAAATTATAAGCAACAATAACGCAAGGAGCAATACAAAGTGTTTGGACTTGGAAACACACATTTAACTGTGCCTAAACTGATCCAATAAATAATGCATATAGTCGTACAGTACAGGCCTTAATACACGGTTAGTGCCTACAAAAAAAAGCCGCATCAGCAGATTCGTCCGGTCAAAGTCAACTGCATATACGCGATAGCACGAGTATATGATAAAATAGCTTGTTTTGCTTGGGCCTATGAACCAAGTTCTTTGCTTTCCCAAGGTAAGGATTTCATAGAAAAGGCGCTTGTGTGTCGGGGTGTCTGTGTGTAATTGGCATAAATCTTTCTCTCCCTGATGGAATTTATAATATCACGAAGGTGTTGCATACCAACCGGTGCTTGAAATGAGAACTTTTGACGCAAATTGCTGCTGCTGGCCCCGGATTCGGGCAGGGACCCGTGCATGCGACGCTCATGGCCTTGTGTCTGGGGGGATGAGCAGGGAAAAACAATTAACAAAAATTAGGCATGAAGTTTGTTAGCAAGCTCGCAATGTGTTGTGGCTTCAAGGGATTAAGGGCTTTTCGGATGAAAACAGCAGTAATTAACATTAATAAAAAGGGGAAGAATAGTGTTTTAAGAGAGGAAGGAAAATTACGTCTGATTGACGAAACTGACGTTATTTATTTTCCCGAAATACATAAATATGTACACATATCTTCACATATTCATATGTATTTACATATGCATGTACCACATATGTACATATGTAATGTATCTGTAAATGGAGTTAGTGTTGCCTGCATTATCTTTCGAGACAACTGCTGTCAGGATTTCTCATTTGAATATCTTATTCTTACGTATGTACAGTTGCGGCGAAAATAATAGCACCGCGTGGTACAGCAGTTTTTATTTTTAACAAAAATGGGTTCTGTACACAATTTTTTTGCACTTTGAAGTAATATAAAGTAGGTTGAGATGTCTCCTATCTGAGGGAAGTGTCCTTATTCTCAAAATATTGGCGGCTCTCAATAATTTTGAAAATTGTTCGAAAAATAAGCGAAATTGAAAAGCAACAAAAATAACACCCAAAATTTGTATTCCATAAAAACTTGTACTTTTCCGAGCTTTTTGATATTTTATGTTTTTAATTGATATAATAATCGGTAGTTTAAGTCGTTTGTAAACAGACAGTTACAAAATATTAGTTGTTTTGGGTCGTCGAAAGCACTTTAGGGAAGAAAAAAACCAAAGGATCAAAACTTTAACTCCAATAGAAGAAAGCTATCCCCTTATGTTCCTCATCTAAAATGATTTGTATTGCTTTAAAAAATGTATCCAACAAGAAACTATTTTTTTTTTCTCTCTTTATATTTACAATCTGTTTGTTTAAACAATAAGTAAATTGTATAATTAATATTCAATTAACAGAAATAGCAGTGTTCCAATGAGCCCTGCTATTATATATAACATCTTTTCAGTTTTTTTTGGATTTATCCATCAGGGATATCGAGAATGTGGTATCTTTTCAGTCTTGTTACTGTTAGGCTATTGTCTAATAGACTTAAGGCTAAATTATTTTCGTGGTTGTGGAGTCTGTCGATGTATTTCTTACTAGTTTTCTTTATTTCTTCTTTAATTGTTG